CTTCTCAAGTTTCCAGGTTCCAAGAACTGACTGAAACAATGTTTCTAAACATATCATTCATACTATGTACAAAGTATGCTATATGTCGAATATTTGTCAGTCTTGCTCAAAATTGGTGGGCAATGGGTCGGAAAAGTAAGAATACATCGTTTGATATGCGACAATTAGTAATTTTTCATCATGAAAAAGGGAAATCGATTCGCAAAATTGCTGATTTATTAAATATTAGTAAGAGCACGGTATGGGATATTGTTCGACGGTACAAGAACGAAGATAGAATTGAATCTATCCCTCAAAGTGGACGCAAACCGATCCTAAATATTCGCGATAAACGTTCCATAATTAGGAGAATCAAATGTGATCCTCGGATAAGTGCTCCAAAGTTAGCAGCTGAATTAAATGAAGACCGTGGAATATCAGTGCATCCGGAGAACATAAGAAGAGTGTTAAGATCAGAGGGCTATAATGGAAGAATAGCTCGAAAGAAGCCGTATATTAACGCAGCGAACAGGACGAAGAGACTGAAATTTTCAAAGGACTACATTGCAAAGTACAGTGAGTGGTGGGAGGACGTAATTTTCGCGGACGAGTCTAAATATAATATTTATGGAAGCGACGGAAGAATTAGGGTATGGCGGAAGTCGAAAGAAGAACTGAATCCGAGACATTTGCAGCCGACTGTGAAGCACGGTGGTGGGTCTGTGATGGTGTGGGGCTGTATTTCGGCCCATGGAGTAGGCGAATTAGTTTTCATCGACGATATCCTTGATAAACATAGATATCTACAGATTTTGCAGAATAATTTAAAGAAAAGTGCTGATAATATGGGACTTCAAAATGGGATAAAGTTTTATCAAGATAATGACCCAAAGCACAAATCGCGAATTGTGCAAGAATTTTTATTATACACTTGCAAGAATATCCTCCATCCACCACCGCAATCGCCAGACTTGAATCCCATTGAAAATTTATGGGATGAATTAGATCGCCGAATTCGGACAACTCCCATAAACACAAAAGAAGAGTTAAAAAGACGTTTGCAAGAAGAATGGCTGAGTATTGGGCAAGATTATTTAAAAAAAATAATTTGTAACATGCCAACGCGATTACGGCACGTCATACAACATATGGGATATCCAACAAAATACTAATTAATAAAAACAAGATTTATATATCGTGATATAAACTTAGTTTTGATAGTGTCCGAATATTTCTGTGACATGAAAATGAGCGTACTTTCTGTTTTTCTTTTATTATTTATGTAATCACGTATCATAAATAAATATTTCTTACGTTTTTGTAAACTACACGCTGCATATTAACATACATGAAACCTTTTTTTGTTCTCATTGTTTACATTTCTGAAGTACGGAATATAATAGTCAAAACTATAGTGGTGTCCGAATATTTTCGTGACCGACTGTACATATGTATATAATCAATTCATTTTCCTTCAATAATTCTCCATTGCAAAAATTCTACAGTATTCTTACATTTTTTTATATTTTAAAATTTTCCCATGTTATTAGAGAGTAGATATACGACAAAAGTTATACAACTTATAGTTCCTAGCATGTATAACATGTATATGTATATAACGCATGGTCGCTTCGTATGGAAAGTCAATGAATCTTCTAAAAGCGCCCAGGTCCGATTTCGAGAAATGTAAGGTCTGTCAGTCACGATGGCTTTTGTCGTTTACTGACGATTCGAACGGGTGGCGATGCCAGCAGGCTTGCTTTCGAGAAATGTAAGCGACGTCGGCGATGCAAGAGCGAGAAGGAAAGCGAGTATCAGCCTGTTTTTCTCGGCTCTTCCGAAACTCAACGAGCTCACGTACACGCAATTGGGCATAGTGTGCGAAAGTGAGGACTGAGAAGTTTCCGGGGCCCCGATGCACAGTCTGATTAAACTGATTTCGAGTCGCAAATACGTTTCTGCCGAGTTATTTTTTTAATAAATGATGTATTACAATTTAAAATAAAAAATAGAGAATTTGCGGTGTACGTATCAATGAAATACATCCTTAGGAATTTTAATAATCTTGAAATTTTTAAATACTCTTAATCGATTGATTTCTCCAATGAAATTAATCGATTAATGTCCAATGATGGACCCTACAGCTTTAATTCCGTTAAAAAATAATAAAATTTATGTAATTTTATTTTCTGTTTCACTTCCTCTTGTGTTAATTTCTGAATCTGTTGATAACGTTGCGAGTGACACGAAAATGGTAATGGGGTCCCGGGGCCCCAGAAACTCCGGCCGAAAAATTACATTACGTGAAAGGTCTATTCATATATCTCGTCTGTGGTATTGGATATTCGGAACAAACAATATCGAGCTGCGGTAGGAAATTTAATAACGGCGTACAATCCGTCAAAAACTCGTGAAGTGAGCGTCGAAATGACCATCATGTTAAAGAACGACAAACCGGTGTATCAACGGGCGAGGCGTTTGTCACCAAAGGGGGAAGAGGAGGTGCAGAAACAGGTGGAGGAATGGCTGCGCGCCAGTATTATACAGCCGTCTCTGTCGGACTGCGCGAGTCCAGTTGTATTAGTAAATAAGGAAGACGTGCGAAAGGACTGTGTGTAGATTATAGGTTATTGAATGCGAAGATAATTAAGGACCACTAACCCCTTCCCCTTATCGAGGACCAGCTGGATCGCCTGCAGGGTGCAAGGGTTTTCAGCACTCTTGATTTAAAGAATGGTTTCTTCCACGTTTCCCGTAGCAAAAACAGTCGGAAATACACGGCTTTCGTGATTCTCGAAGGTCAATTCGAATTTTTGAAAGTTCCGTTTGGGTTGTGTAATGCGTCTGCAGTTTTCCAAAGATTTATAAATGCCGTGTTTGAAGAGTTGATAGCGAAAGGGGTAATGTTGCCCTATGACCTCATTGTACCCTCGGGCGGATACGAGAGTACAGAAAATCTTGAATGCAGAATGCGTGCGGTTTTTATCTCAAGGCGTGTGTGTATGCGTGTATGGGAAATTAGGCGGAAGGCGACCGGGAAGTGAAACGATTATTTTTGTGTGTAATAAAGTTTTTTATAAGAAGTTCGTCACAATCATTGCTTTCGCAATCAGCTATATCCTACATTCGTGTATTTTCAAAACTTTTGGAAATAAATATAAATTAAAAACATTTCATAATCAATGTAGAGATCTTTCGAAACAATAATATGTTTGATCGAATAGTGAATGCATATCGATATGCTAAGTGCTTTTCCGTCTGACTATAGTATACTAAATCTAGTAACTGTGTATTCTCTTTGTCAGAATTGGTTCATCAGATATTGATTATATATTTCTTTGGAAAATCGAAAGAAATGTAAAAGTCTAAAAATATCAGTTCTACATGTAAGTTAGAAGATATTTTTCTTCGTTCTTGTAGAATTAAATATGCAGTAAAACACTGCACAATAATAATTTGATTACATACTTACAAATTAAACATTATTGAATATTTTTAATAAATTTTCACTAAGTACATTTATAATGAATTTTCTGCTACGCAAGTGCAACAGAGTTAATGAAAATGTTTTCAATGATTTCAATGTAACTTATGTCTGTCGGTTTGCATTTTGCCTTTTAAACGTAACATTAAACGAAGCAGAAAGATAGTTAGAGCAATCGGGTAGTCAAACGATGTGGTGGATATAATTACTTACTGACCTTGATAAGTCAACATTTTTTGTCACGAAACATTTAAATTTCTTTTGAGCAAAGACAAAAAATATTATATGATTTAACGAGATTCACCTACTTGCAAGGTGCAATTACAATTCTTATTTTTTTTAACGAACTTACATAATTTCATTTATAGAATCTTTTAATGGGAGATTCTAGAGGCCAAAATAAGACGAAAATCAAGAATACCAATTCGTTGATTGAGGTTTCGTTAAAAAATTATTAACGTTTAAAGTTCCGCCTGTAAAACGGCAATCTGTGAACAGCTGCATGCGCGTGATAGGTTAAGGCAAGCCAATCCTAGTGGTTCCCACTCACAAAACTGTAAGGCTGTCGGCACGCCACTAAGTAGAGTTTTTCATGTTAAGTGAGAACCACTAACGCGTGCATGCAGCTGTTCACAAATTGCCGTTCTACAGGCGGAACTTTAAACGTTAATATTTTTTTAACGGAGCCTCAATCAATAAATTGGTATTCTTGATTGTCGTCCTATTTTGGCCTCTAGAATCTCCCATTACAATTTCTCCCAAGGGTGGCCAAACATCCTGCATATTTTTGACACAAAAAAAATGTATTAATACGTTCACATAAAAAAATTAGCAGCTATCTTTAAAATCTTAACAGACGTTTGATAATAATGCAACATTCTTTTCGAAATTGATATGTAAGAATATAAATTTGAATTCTACAAACGATTTAGTAAATATAATAGCAACCATTTTTTATTCAATATTTATTAAAGTAATTTTCTTAGATAAAATGTGAAATATGAAATATGCAATTTCATTTTGTAGATTTACTGTAGAATATTCGAAAAAGTAAAGTTCCTAGAATCACCCTGCGTAATATGATACTTAACATGATTAGGGAAAAACTTGCATTATTAGGCGAAAATCTAGCGAATTAATTAATTTGTCATAGAGCAAAAACTTGACATTTTACCAGACAACTTAAATGTGCTTAATGTTGAGACATGATGTTACAATCTTTCAGGATGTTTACACATTACATTGCTGTTTTGTAATATTATCATATGATATATTTCCTAGATTACTTTACAACATATGCGCATATGACATCTGTCTTGAAGTGCAAAAGAGACAAGAATATTTATAATGTCAATCCAACAATTAAACAAGATTCGAAGGAAATTCATGTAATAGATAGTATAATGTATACAGCCAGAGTGTATAGTTACAGGACACGTAGAAACGTTGCATGACAAAGAAAACAAGAAACAGACAGCCAATCCACCTATAAGTCTTATCATCATTTTTGTATGTGTATGTGTAAAATATGTTTTACCGTGAAGAGAGTAGTTCCCACCGTTTATAGCATCCGATGGAGGTAATGCGTCGACGTGTAAATCAGCCAAAGTCTTCGGCACGAATTCCAGTTTTGGTTTGTTCGCTGCTTCATCTTTCCTGTAATCGATAAAAGCAGCATTTAAATACAGGATAAGTACATACAATTATCTATAAATAAAAAAATATTGCTATTGATTTAAATCTGACACCTCCTCTCTTCGGGTTTTTTCATGTTTTAACATTTTAACGTATTTTAAATTTAAAAATGCAAAATGCCTAGTTTACAAAATCCTGGATATACATGCATATACAGGGTGTTTGAAAAAACGTAGGACAACCAGCAAAAGAGTGATTCTTCACATAAAACTGAACTGAAAATATAGAATACAATTTGTTCATACAGAGCCCTATTTTCAACAAAATCGAGTTTGAAAATTCGTTAGGTATGTGTGCACTTACAATTAAACACAGTCTGCTTCGTTTTTTCGCATTGCTGCTTATACTTATAAATAATATCAATCGGGATATGATATAATATTAATGTTAGGATATTTTTGAGAACCTTCTTATAATAATGATTTAGTAATCGACAAAGCAAATTGAGGATTAAGGACCCGGGAAGCTCTTGGTTATTACAATGTAATAAATACGTGCGTTTCTTGCATCCTTACTTACCCTCAACTCAATGGCAATTGATGCACCGTAAACCTAGTAAACGCAAAATCGTAATTAGCTAGACGCGCGGAACCCTTGGGCCTGAGTCACCGATGGAATTTCCCAAGTCAGGCCCACCAGATTGAACTTGCCTTGCCGAGGGTACGTCACGAATGGGCCGTGACAACCGCCCCAAAGAGCGACCGCCCTCGACAGCAAGCAGAGCACTGATTCGCTCCTTAGGTAACCATCCTTTTCCAAAAATGTTAAGGACATCTCCAAATGTAGAAATGATTATTAAGACACTATTCAACAAAACACCATCAGTTTTGATGATCGACTAAGCGTGCTACCGCTCATCACTAAGACAAAATCCATCATTTGACAAAGCACGTCTTACAAATTTGTACATTATAATATTTAATAAATTATAATATTTGTTCTCAATCGACGGGAGTTGGCACCATCATGCAAAATTGCACACATCTTAACAATTAATAAATAGTAAGTTGTATTAATCAGCTGTAGTAAAAGCATTATCATTGCAACTATTGCAAACTCCTACTGCATGGATACATATATCAGTGTATTCACGTTTGGCATACATTGCCAATATAGCTCCAGAAATATTACAAACTCCGATCTTCAATCAGCCCTCGACCGTAATGAATTGAGACAACTTTAAGTCTAGAACCTTCAATATTGTTTATAAACAAAAGTAGCAGTGAGGGTTACAAGCTAGACTAGGCAAATGAAGCAGACTGTGTCTATGTACACGTGTACCTACTGAATTTTCAAACTTGATTTTTTCGAAAATAAAGCTTTGTATGAACAAATTTTATTCTATATTTTCAGCTCAGTTTTATCTAAGGAATCACTCTCTTGCCGGTTGTATCTCGATTTTACGAACACTCTGTAAATTCATGTACAATGACTCTTACTATAATAGTATTCGAAACTAGTAAGTTATCCATTCCACTGTACTTTTGATCACAATTAAGTTAAGGTATTTTTTGTTTTATGTTATATAAAAACATGTATTCTACTTAATATAAATACAAATTTTATTTATATAAAATATTTAATTTGTAATATACCAAACAATTTATTTAATAATGTATTATTTTTGCATCGCAAAAATATTCGAATACTTAATGAACTGTTGTATAATGGTGTACATAAAAAATAAATACATATGTATATGTCCGAACAAATTATTGAAATGTTAATATTGTGTTAGATATCTCTTTTTTAACTATATGCCCCAATCGATTAGACCTACTCAAATACCTTTTTATAAATAATTTAATATGATTCTTCTTTTTTTTATTGGTGTTATGTGATTCTTCCTACGTAGATAAATCCATCAATTTTCGTTGGAATTTAAATTCAGCCACTGTGACGGTGGATGTTTGCGTGGAGGCAATTATACACATAAAAAATATTCTTAAACCATTCTGGCTTAATGTTTTGGATTATTCTCTTGGATAAATTTTAATGTACTTTCAATGCTCATAACAGTTGCATCTTTTCAAAAATGTTGTTTTAAAATATCCAAATTCTCATTTTTGTCCAAAATGTCATTTATAAAAACTAGCTCCAACTTCTTTCGACGAATTACAGCCCCAATAAAGAGTACTTCCACGACTACTGTGTTTTATCGTAGGAAACTAAGCTCTTCATTCCATTTCCACCTGATTATTTTGTTAAATTGTTTTCATCAACGAAAATAACATTATTCTCTCAGGTTTATTCTTTGTAAAAAAAATTCTTTGACAAAAAATGATCTTTTTCTGTAAACCGTCTCATTTATATAGTCTTTTAAGAACTTACTTTACCTTTAGAACCACATTCTTTTAACATCCGACGTATTATACACAGTATCTTCAATAAGTTCTCAGACTGAGGTTGTAATAATTAAAACAACGTTCGATTTCACATGAATCATTATTTTTATTCAAAGTACTTTCCTTCTAAGGCAATGCAACGCTCGGCGCGGTTAAGTAAATTGTAAATTTATTTTTCCATGGCATCTTTCGGAATCGAGTCGAGAATCCTCGTCACGGCGGCTTGGATCACCGGAATGTCGTCGTATCGTGTGCCTTTCATTGGGATTTTCAATTTTTGGAACAGATAATAGTTGCAAGGTGTCATATTAGGGGAATATGACGGATGAGCAACGACGGTGACATTTTTTTTGGCCAGAAACTCACATACTCCAAAGGCAGTTCTTACTCTTCGGTTAGCGTGTGCGGTACAAATCTTGCGCCCACTTTCCGTTTGTTGAAATCTTCCCTCAAAGTTGAGTAGGTCGTTCCTACAGACACGCACATTCGTTACAGATGTCTTCCACATAGTCGGGTCATTGGTGATGAGTTCTCTAACTTTCTCGGTAAGTTTTGCTGTCTTTGCCGCCCTCGGACGGCCGGAGCGTTCACAATCCTCAAAACTCTCCCGATTATCTCTGAAGCGACCATATCATTTAAACACTTCACTACGCCACAAACAATTACTACCATAAACTTGTAACATTTTAAGCGTTTCCGTCATAATTTTACCGAGCTTAAAACAAATTTTTGTATTTGCTCTATGTTCCATTATTTTTTCGTGACGACCACACCGAAAATTAATTCGCATCAATGTCAAGAACTTTTGCAATTACGCTTTGAAAAATTAGCAATACTTTATTGAAGATACCGTGTATCTAGATGAACTTTCTTTTTCGACTCTTAAAATGATTCAGAACTTAATTTAAATCAAGTTAAATTAAGATTCCTCTTTATTTTTCTCACAATATTATGTTTATTTTGGTCGTCAAATATGTTCTGTTATTCTATTTGAACAATGGATTCGATCCAATCCTCCCGATTATATCTCCACATAATATCTGCAACAATATTCTTGCAAATTAAAAAATTTACCAGTTTTCCAATAAGATTTTCTTTTCTTGCGATGATAAATTTTTAATTGTCGCGTATCAAATGAGATATTCTTACTTCTCCATCCCGTAACTCACTTATGAATGATTACGTCAATTTTCAAACAATAACCGGTATTATGAGGTATGCTCTAAACATTGTTTAACATTACGTTTGTACAGTCTTCATCGTCAACCAAAGTGGAGAACTATAATCAAGAAACATGGAAGTGTACTAAGTGATTGAATATTTTTGCGACGCAAGTATAACACAATGTCTAGTATATTATCTATTATATTACAAATTAAATATTTTATATAAATAAAATTTGCATTCCTGTTAACTAGAATACGTGTTTCAATATAACAAAACTAAAAATACCTTAACTTAATTATGGTAAATACTATAGCATCCGAATATTAATAAAAGTCACTATGTGTATATGTATATACCGTGAAAATCTGGTAAGGTGATGAGTGGAAGAAATGTACTGTCAGTATTACCCATAATAGATTGATCACATTTCTACGCACTCGAATTTTCAGTAGTTTATTATTGGTTGAAACAATCATATCTACTAAATCCAGGCCTACTTCTATGCTATAGCGTACTATCAAGAGTCAAATCGTCATGGCTAGCGAACCGTCAAAAATGAAGATTGGAGGGAGTATACGGTTTCTTTTTGCTTTTGTGCTATTCCGTTAATTATCTTTCCAGCACTGCAATATATTGATCTCCATTTTGCTTTATATTTCAAAATCTGGTTTACTGGAAAATCATGAAATTTGATATGATGATTCAGCTTTTAAATTGAGAGCTGACTCAAATATGTTGCATTCGGTTAAAAATTTGGACTATTACTCTCTCTTAGATTATTGTAAGTAAAGTAGATTATTGTGTGAATTACTTGCCAACTAGTAGAAAATACAAAGAAATGCATCACGACTTATGTCAGCAATTTCTTTTACATAACAGCTGTCAGTATCAACGAAACATTTTTCATTAATTTTGCAGACAATGGGCAATGGCCCTTGCTAGTATCCGGAACTCGTATAAGGATATAAGTACATACTTCTCTAAAAGCGTTTCTGTTAATGTTCTCAAAACTTCGGTACACTGCTGATGATAGTCTAGAAGAGCTTCGCTGAATGTTGCCAACTGTGCCACTTGTTCCACCTAAACACAGAGAAGTATAGAAAATCTTATACTAGGCATTATATATGATATACAGATTGAATTTCGAAACTTTTTAAACATTTTATCAACTTATTTCATAACACTCACATCATTCTCCAATAAATTGAACATGCCCAATTGTGCCAAATGAAGGCTCTCTGCAAACTTCTCTTCGGCCTGACGTATCTCGTCGTCTGAAACGTGAGAACCTGCTCGCAAAATTTGCGCCAGCACAAATATTAAAAATTGCACTACTGGGTTGCTTCAATGCCTAAGTTTGGTATATAAAATACAAAAGAAACAGAAAGAAAAAGCACATTTGACTTGACACTAGCAAAATTATATCGTTTACAAGTGATACTAAATCTTCAATTGTTCAATACGTTCCTTCCCTTCTAACGCAAGCATGTGCGAATAGTAAAATTTCCTTGTGAAATTTACACAAGTAATACATTCGACATTCGCAGTACCTTTGGTGCACTCACAAATATGTACTTCATATGCATACATATATGTATTACGATATTTTATATTCCTTGGATAGTTACTGTGATGTATATCTACATACATTTACCGTAAAATACACAATGGTACGTAGAAAGTTACAGAAAAGAACGGGCTGGGATTTTGTTTATTTTAATCTAAGGAACATAAGTCTTTCATCAACATAAAGGAAACAATGTAATTTTGTACGTGTTTCAATATAGGTATCCATACGCAAAGCACGAGAACTCATAAAATCATAGAAACCACGATAATAAAATCGATAATTGTCGCATGTAGAAAAGTCACGTACCGGTATACGGTGACGATGACTTTACTGGACTTCCAAAATGTGGACTGGTAGATCTTTTCCCGGCTGCTAATAATGAAGGAAGCATTCAAAGAAACGAAAAACAAGATTGCCCCGCACTTTTATAAGAAGTAAACAAGGTATATAATAGTTTTTTGAATAAATATCTATAATTATTAAGAATAAACAAATATAATACTGAAATTATATGAGATGGAGAATTTGTAATTGGAACTATGTTGATAACTTCGTATTTATTAATTTTAACAAAAATTGATTCCGTTGATTACTGTACATTAATTATCATCATTTTTTTTACATTAACTTTCATAAAAGATATGGGACCAATTTGACAAGATTTGAAAAGAAAATCATGGAATGTCTAAAGAAAAGACTATTTACTGCATGGTTTCATCTAAACACGCTTGTTCTGTAGATGTAATAGCAAAAATAAAAAAATGTTACTGTGATTAAATATAATTTACAAATGTATTTAAAATATCTTAAATATAAACCCGGACCAAAAAAAAGTTATTCAAAACAATTAAACGTAATATTCTGAGAACTAAGGAAACGGATACAAAAAAATGTAAAATTTCATTTAGTAATGTAGATGTGAGTGCAGAAACAATTCGTTGTGTATTAAGAAATGCGGATTTGAAAGGGCAAGTGAAAGTTTGAAAGCCATTACTTACAAAAATATGCATTGCTATGTGTGGCAAGAAATTGATCAAGGCTTGATAGAAAATCTTATAATTAGTATAAAATCGAGAATTTTCCAACTAATTCACCGCCTGATTTACTGATTATTAAGAACAATTTTCATTATAATTAGTTTATAAATAAGTAGTAATTTATAACTGAACTTATACTTTTGTCCATTCTGCAAACAGCATTTTTCTTTAAAAGGGTAACAATTCATTGTTTATGTAAATATTGTCAAATTTTATTCCATTACTTTATCTTTCGAGTATTTTTACGTAATTCTGCAAAAGAAAAAAGCAACAGCTCTAACCATAACAATAAACGAGCCAAAAATAAAGCGAACTTATAATAGTGGCTAGCAGTGTATTAAACCCACTGTTAAATTCGGAGACAGTAATATTATGTTTTGGAGATGTATGGTGGCCGTTGTTGAGATTTATAAAATAGATAGTAGAATAGCAACATTATATCAATATTTCAGACAACAATCTCCTGAATAGTTCACGAAAATGGAAGAAAAATGTTAAAGATGCCATGTTTCAATACAATTAAGACTAAAAGTACACAACAAAGATAACTGTCATTTCTAATATAACATCGAAAGTTTATAATGAACGCTATGAGATAGTTTTGTAAAATCAACCACGCGTTGGTCACGTGTTTTTTCAAGTACCAATTTAATTTTATGATAGAATTTTTAAATGGCTACTCCTATATCCCAACTTAAACCCCATAGAGTACTTGTAGGATTTACTGAACAAATCACAAATTAATTTTAACAGCCATGCCTCAAATTTGGATCAATTGTGGGAAAAGGTGCAAGTAAAATGGGAAAATATGTCGAATATTATTAAAAGTAAAAGCCGGTTATAAGAAATTCTAACCACAAACAAAATTAAATCACATAATTGTTTTAGTTTTTGTATTATTCCTGTTGTAAAATAAAATTTGTTTTGGAAAACATGCATCGTTTGATTTGCAGACATGTGTATTAAATATGAAATTTTTGAAACATTGGAATAAAAAATGTAATTGTATTTTCCAAATGAATTAATATAGTAACCTTAGAAATTACCTGCTATTAAAAAACCATATTAAAAGATTGTTATAACAATGTTCATGCTCTTGAATAAGAACTCAAGCCGTGAAAGCTTCAAATCTCAGTTTGTCATAACATTTATCCAACATTGTGTGTCAGTTTAAAGAATAATATAAGAAAAATCTGTATATTATCTCAATATATGGCGTGATTTTAGCTGGAACAGTAAGTCAATATGACCAATCGAATTAATATTATTTATTTCATTTCATTTCATGTAATTTTGTAGTGTATATAGTTTATATTCATTTTTTCGATTTTATCTTGATCTAAAATTAGCAATTGATATATTTTATAGTTTAATTTGAAAATTACCATATATTGCTGTTTTAACAGAAACAAGATCTAATAAATACGGTGCGAGTAAAATAAAAATTATCGGTTCATTGATTGAATTTATTTAAAGGTCGTTTGAAGGTCATATTATTTAATATAGTTGAATTTGTTTCAAAGTTATGTATAACTTTTATTGTGTGTCAGAATAATTTCCATTACAAAAAAAAGGAAACGTGACCTTAAATAGTTGAAAACTACAAATAATAACGAAATCTTTTTATAGTATATTATGATTACATAACCCCCTTTAAACTGTACAATATTTATTGGAATCAGTTTTTATTAAAATTGATATTTACAGAGTTATTCAAATGATTCCAATCATTTTCTTGGGCCCATTTTTATAAAAATAAAAATACATGAAATAAACGATAATATTACGACGTCGTAGAATGATCCGATAAATGCAACGTGCACATGCAGAACATGCGAATGTGTTGCCCATAAAACTGTACAAGAACGTAGGAATAACGCACGCCTAATCGTGCGAACGAAGTTCTCCAAGTTGACCAATCTGTGTTATTTGTCGAAAAAAATGTACTAATTATAATTATAAACGGTGCGCGACAAGTTTTCGTGTCACAAGGATGTGTATACTTCCCGACGTACTGTGCTTATGTAAATCAATAACGATACGAAGAGATCAAGTGAACGTGCGACCAGGTGTACCTTTTGCTTGACGTCTTCGCTTGCAATCGAAATCCAGCCTTCGTCCTTGAAGTTTTTTCCGGTGATGCTGAAACAAAGGGAGTGTCAATTAAGCGATCGATTTTCTACCGTTCAATTTAGACAATATTCTTCGATAATATTCACTACCGAAGAATAGAAGAACGAGAACTTTTTCACTAACTGCGGTGACCAACCTACCATCACTTCTTTAAGATCTTTAGTCTGCAAATGGTGCAATGGTTCCAGGAAGTTCTGCTTAATGGCGTCATCCAACGAATATTTTACGTCTGCCATCTGCTTCATAGCCTCGCCCATTTCAATAAGAGCCTGAGCTACGGGAATTAGAAAAGATGAATGACGCGAAACGATTCGCGTTTAGATGCATATGTATTTATGCGCCCAGTCGGCGCTGTTCAATTACTACTTTACAGAATAGGACATTCCGAAAAAATATTAAAACATATATTACAACTCTAAAAACTTCTAACGTACAACAATGATTTTTAAAGTGAGCTCCAGACGTGATTCGTAAGTTGAACATTTCTACCCCTTCTAATTTAGGGGATTCCCCTTAGAGCCCAGTGAAATGTGAAAGACAATGCTTCGTGAAAAGCCACCAGCGCTCGGCTTCTTTGTTAGATCTCAACAACTGGCATTTAAAGACCACAGCTTATTATTAATTCTAGAAAGATATTATACAAAATATACTATTTGCTACGTTAAATTATTGAATAATTTAATACTATAATAGTATATGATTACAATAAAGTTATTTGAATGTTATACAGGATTGTTCGGCTACCCTGGGAAAAATTTTAATGTGAGATTCTAGAGGCCAAAATAAGACGAAAATCAAGAATACCAATTTGTTGATTGAGGCTTCGTTAAAAAGTTATTTACGTTTAAAGTTCCGCCCGTAGAATGGCAATCGATAGCCTTAGATTTTTGTCCACTTATGGGAACGCGAACACCTTACGCTGAATAAGGTTCAACCTGTCTTATGAAAATCCAGAAGGGCATATCAAAACTCGCCCGACGAGATTTTCACAGAAAAAGGATGAATGCCAGTTCTAATACACAATGTTGTGAACAAAAATCACCCACACGCGATTATACACGCCCCACGATTGTCCACAGTGTCCGTAGGTGTCCACAAATAATCCGTTCAGGCATTAACCACAATGCAATTAAATAATCACGCACCGCGATTATGTTATTCGCGAGTGTCTATGTGTACGTGTATCACGATTATTCCGAGTTACTTACGAATAAAACTGTTATTAATTTCAAAATACACTTCATCTTAAAAATGTACAAAGGAATCGCAGGATAAAAGAAATTTTCGCATCGATTTACGTTCACGTCGGCGAATGTAACAATACTAGCATCTGACTGTGTCATCGATCGACGAGGTTCAGAGAAACAAATGCCGAACAGGACCCCGATTCTACGTCACTCGCCTCGTTTATCTCTCACACGACACACGCACACACACACACACATATGCACTCACACTCAGCGGAGACAAAGGGCAGCATCGGCACGTGTTCGGCCAGCTAGTCAGTCGTAAAACAGAATCAGTCAAGCTAGTTCACGCGACACATTTTAGACATATTTGATTGAGTTATGTATTAAGTAGCATGAAAGAAATACAGTGATATAAACAATCAGCGAATACTTATTAAATTCCTTTTTACATTTTTAAATTAAAGTGTATTTGAAAAATTAATAACAGTTTTATTCGTAAGTAACTCGGAAGAATCGTGATACACGTACACATAGACACTCGCGAATAACATAATCGCGGTGCGTGTTTATTTAATTGCATAGTGGTTAGTACCTGAAAGGATTATTTGTGGACAATCGTGGGGCGTGTATAATCGCGTGTAGGTGATTTTTGTTCACAACATTGTATATTGGAACTGGCACTCACCCTTTCTCTATGAAAATCTCGTCGGGCAAGTTTTAATATGCCCTTCTGGATTTTCATAAGACAGGTTGAATCTTATTCAACGTAAGGTATTCGCATTTCCATAAGTGGACAAAAATCTAAGGCTATCGATAATGTCAGTAAGTAGAATTTTTCATGCTGCGTGAGAACCACTAGCACTGGTCTGCCGCAACCTTCCGCGCAAACGCAGCTGTTAGCGGGTTGCCATTCTACAGACGGAACTTTAAACGTTAATAACTTTTTAATGAAGCCTCAATCAACAAACTGGTATTCTTGATTTTCGTCTTATTTTGGCCTCTAGAATCTCATTAAAATTTTTCCCAGGGGTGGTCGAACACCCTGTATACGGTGACGAAAACTTGTGAATGTTACCATTATTTTTTATATGCTTAGAAAAATTTACTGTTCTGTATTCAGTGACATTTTCCGACCGCAACACTTTCACTTTGCTTCCTATTTGAGTATGCACAAAACTTTCGAATTCTATGAGTTTCTAGAGCATTTCCGACTTGTGTCTCAAACAGTATACTTTTCTGAAACTTGTGAAGTCATCTTTAAATAGCAAGAAATATCTTGATCCTGTCGGTGACTGAACACTGATTGGACCACAAACATCTGTATAATTTATAAATTTATATTTACTAATACATATTTATGGATTTTCCGGAAAGAAATATTGTTTTAATCCTTTTAAGAAGATTCTGATGTGATATTAATTGACGAGAACGTGGTAACTGCTCATTGCATGTCCAAAAAGTGATTGATTTGTTATAAAATGACACAAACGTTAACAGTTTCGTTAAATTGTTGATTTTAAATGGACAGAACAAACGAAAAATTAAATAGAGTTCTTTTTTTCAACTGCCGTTTACTCTTTCTCATTCACTTTCACTCGCTATCCTTTTCTCCGACTGCCGTTTGTTTTTTCTCATTCGCTCTCAATCGACATTTAGTCGGCAAAAGCTAAAGGCGACTCCGAGGCTCAATGATATAGTTGTGTATAAACAACTGCTGGTATCGAAATTCGTTTCCACTATATGAAGAATGAACATGTCAACCCTGAAACGATGTTCATTTTAAGAATCATTACTGTACGGGACACACTGTACGATGTTAGCCACGACGGGCCTTGTCGTTTGCCGACAATTTAAACGGGTGGCGATGCAAGAACGAGAAAGAAAGGCTCACATTTGCCTTCTTTCTATACTCCTCGAAGTTGTCCAAAGTGCCGCGCTCACTTTGGGTAGCTTCCAAAACTTTACAAGCTCACATACCTACACGCATAGGGTACAGTGTACAAAAGTGAAATGAAGAATAATTCCTGGGGTGTTACTAGTGTGCGATCTGGTAACACCGATTTCGAGTCGCAAATACGTTTTTCCCGAGTTATTTTTCAAACAAATAATATATTACAATTTAAAATAAAAAATAAAAGATTTGTGGTGAACTTGTCTATGAGGTACATTCTTATGGATTTTAATAACCTTGAAATATGTTGTAAAGGAATCATTTTGAGGAACAAGTTGATTCAAAATGACATACATATTTCAAATCTGTTCGAATCCGTAAAGATGTATAGCTCATCGACAAATTCGAAGAATTTGCTTTTTATGTTCATTTGAAGAATCACGCGTCATTGATACGCAGTGAAAATGTTGAATATGTAAATGCGTTTTAAAATTAATTAAAATGTTAAAAAATATAGTGGGCCATACATTGATTAGATCGGGACAAATGAGATGGAATTTCTTATATGGTACTCTATAACAAATTCTACAAATAAAAAATAAATTTCATCGATTATTTAAAACCTAAAATTGCAGTAACTCATTTAAAAATTATGAATTTGATTACGCATATGAATACATAACTTGCACACAACCCGTAGCGCAAATACTTGATATTTTACAAAGAACAAAATAACACTTGTTATGGTGTATTATAACCTTATTTGAACTATTTAATAATTAATCATTTTCAAACGAAGAATATATCATTTCCATTTTATATTATTTCTTTCATTTACTATAATGACATAGAAATTTGTAACGTCTTTTATTAAAGAATGGTGAAACAGATCGTTGCTTGTAAGATTATCGTCCGTAACGTCTAACGATTATTTCAATCTTCAATCGCCACGAGTGATTAATTCCATTAATCAACTAATATTAATCGCGATTTACTTCTGACTACTAAGGCTGGAAACAGACGAGCGACTTTTGCCGTTGCGACATCGCAGCGATTCTATGTTTTTTCCTGCTTCTGCAATTAAAACAACGAAGACAAAATAGGCGTTTCTATGTCTGTCTTGGTTGTTTTCAATTGAAAACATGGAAAAAGATAAAATCGCTGCGATATCGCAACGGCGTCGCACGGCTCGTCTATTTCCAGCCTACAATTTACTAAATTTTGTACAGTTTTCATTCTGTTAAAAAACAAACGAATTCCTGTAATTTCATTTCCTGTCTTATTTCCTCCAGTGTTTATTTCTTTAGCCTGTTGGTGACCCAAAAATGATATTAGGGGTTCTAGGACTCCAAAAAAATGGGCCGAAAAAGTATATTGGATGTAACGTCTACTTGTATACCTCATCTGTAGTTCTAAGAGACAGTACATACCGAAAACACTATCATCGCCAAGCTTCTTGCCATAGGTAAGCATGCAATCGCCGAGAACACCTTCCGGTTGAGGGTAAGTCGAAGCTTTCGCCTGCCCGCTGAGTTTGCTAATGCCTTTGACCGCCGCCATCTTCGCTCTTGCTGTCGGATTTGGCTGAAGAAACTCCTTCGTTTTCAGCTGTAATTCTTCCACCAACTCGTATGTGACATCTGTTTTCTGTGATCAAAATTACACAATCTCTTTTTAAAAATAACATTACCCTATTAATCTTCTTCTTTACAAATAAAATTGAAGTTTAATCATTCAAATGAATTGTAGAATCATGTCAGAGGTTATATATTTCAATTTCTGGAGTTGGGAAATTAGTTCTTACAGATATTATTATGGATAAGAACGAATGTTTAAATTTATTACCAAAAAAAGGAACGTAAACTAGTAGTGTTAAAATTGAAAGTCATACAATTTTAAAATCCTAAGCATGAAGCACGAATCCCATAAGAATATTTGCTATATGTATAATTGCATAAAAATTAAAAAATTATAGAATCTAGTTCTTACAGGAAATTATGCGATGAATTGGACCGCGGAATCAGAAACATGCTTCTAAATTCTAAGGAAAAGTTTAAAGAAGATTGGAAAAAGAATAGAAATATCGAAATTCCGATTATTTAAAAAGAAATTAAATCTGGAATGACCAAACATCTGATCCATGTTTCAAAACAAAAACACTATGCTACCCAATATTAAAATTATATACTTTCATAACATAATGTATACAGGGTGAACCGTGAAACTTAATCAGCTTAATTTATGTTATTACTAATGGACCGTTCAAAAAGTTTTTGCCCGCTATAACATAGCTTAGAGGGGCTTTAAAATGATTATAGTACATTTTTTACGACTTTTTTCAAGTTCTGCTAATGAACATCATTTCGAGCATCGTTTGAATTAAAATATTTTTCTTTAACGTTTTGTTTCTTAGATTTAGATTAAAAAAAGGTATTTTTTATGATATTTGAATTGATCTTAATATTCGCTAAAAAATAGGTTTCTCTCCAAAAACCTAGACGTAACCTTGGAAACTTCGGAAAAAGACAGCAGTTAGTAAAAAATGTAATATAATCATTTTAAAGTTGAGCTTGAACTATATCTAGTGAACAAAAAACTTGTTGAACGATCCACTAGTAACAGAATAAATTAAGCTGCTCATGTTATGTAGTTCACCCCGTATATCATCATTTTCTGAATATGTACTGTTTCAATATTTTTTTAACTCCGACGATGGCGCATTATTGCAATTTATGTTAATTATCATGTAATGATTTTAAATTGAATAAATAAAGTTTGTATTTTTTTCTTTTGAAGTATATTAATTGATTTAGAAGTAAAAACGAATGTGTTTTATGTACAAATAATTATACTATACAACAATAAAGGCAAACATACCCCAGTGCTCATATAGACGACAAAGAAATACTGCGAATTTGATTTGCACGTGGAAATCGATTCAAGGTTATACAAGACACATCATGAACATATCGTGGAGACCTTAAAAATGCAGAAAAAAAACACTCACCCTCTCCATATCCATAAAGTCGACGTCGAGCTTGGTTCCTTCCGCACCGCCCATCTTCTCTGTCATATACTTGAAAAACATAATACAATTGTCATGGAAAATAGGTCAAGTAAAATGAATGAATATTGAGAACTTGAATGAAAAAAGAAACTAATTCTACAATTACCCTATTCATTGATATACCCAACTTAAAATAATAATTAGAGAAGACGGACGACAATACGCATTTGATGAGTTCGAGCGTGTGATCGATAATGAAGATTTCTAATATAGATTGATTTGATCGATCAGTCAATATTTTAGTTATGCTAGTCATGGAGAAGTAGCGACACTCTCTTTCAATTTGTGCTTCTTACCCAAGCCACGTACGTTCATTAAATGAGTGAGTTTTTAATTTCATTATATATTTCCATTTACAACCTAGTATGTTGTATAATAAATTTGATTTGTTTAAAATACTAAGTCAGCAAAAGTTCCGTCTTATTACACATAACACTAACTCTAATATATGTATACAGGGTGGTCCACGCAATTGTTACAAGTCATAACTCCGTTATTATTGCATTTCCGAAAAAATGCCAAAGGAAAAAGATAAATGGTTCGAAGAGCACTACATCTGTAGGCCTTTAAATTTTTTTTAGATGCAGCAGTGCATATGCAATTAACAATTGCATCATTTCTTTAAATAGAAATGCATATTTTTTTTTTACACAGATCGATTCTTCTGTTTATTCTACGTAAAAAATGATTAGGGTACCATGGCAAAAAAATTATTAGATCTCGAGATATTTTCAAAAAATGTCTTTATTGAAGAAGATGCTCAAACGCTTCTCCATTACATTCTAAGCATTTCTAATAACGTTTTTTTATTGTTTGCGTAACTGCGTTTAAATTATCTGCAGTTATTGCTGCACATTACAGTATGATTCTTTCTCTCAGATTCTCTACAGAATCTATGGGATTTGAATAAATTCTATCTTTCAAATAACCCCACAGAAAAAAGTCAAGGGGACTTAAATCAGGTGAACAGGCTAGCCAACGTTTTGATGTATTTGTTGCGATAACGTTATTGCAAAACTTACACTACTTACGATGAAATACTTACTCGTACAAATCAGTTTCTGTTATGATAACAATGTCGAAAGGGTGTTTACCTTTATAACATAGTCATGACGTGTTTGAGCATCTTCTTCAATAAAGACATTTTTTTTAAATATCTCGAGATCTAATAACTTTTTTGCCATGGTACCCTAATCATTTTTTACGTAGAATGAATAGAAGAATCGATCTGTGTAAAAAAAAATATGCATTTCTATTTAAAGAAATGATGCAATTGTTAATTGCACATGCACTGCTGCATCTCACAAAAATTTAAAGGCCTACAGATGTAGTGCTCTTCGAACCATTTATCTTTTTCCTTTGGCATTTTTTCGGAAATGCAATAATAACGGAGTTATGACTTGTAACAATTGCGTGGACCACCCTGTATATGTATATGTACATGTAATAAATATTAACACAACTTTCAAGTATATAATGTAAAATGATATTTGAAACACGTTCATCTATCATGCTTAGATAGGATACTATTAGATAACTATAATGATGGAAATAGTTTCTTGATATTCAAAAATTATGTAACTTTTTTTACTATTTTAAAATTGTAATTAAACGCTCTTTTAACCAATATAACCAATCTTTCTTGTTTTAAATCTTTAATTTGGTATTTTGTAAAAAAATATTGACTGTAACATAGCATTCATAAGCAAATCATTAACGAAAATGTATCAATAAATTTCAGTTGACATTACATCCGACACGGTCTGATACAATCTATACGAGATTCTTACATGTCTCCAATATTCTTTTGCTTTTTGACGCTTAACCGTTGTTCAACGATAGGCCGAGTGAACACTGTGAACAGTGAGTGAACAGTAATAGATTCCTCCTTGAATTTCAATTACAGTGATTCCTACGGTCAATTTTCTGAGTCTTCTACTTCAAGATACGTTTCGATACGTTACGATTAAAACCAAATATTCTTTCGAATTTCAGAGGAGTAAGAAGGGTAAGCTTATTATTTTTTAAGTATGTACATATTAAATGATCAGAAAGTTTAACAGAGAATCTATTTCACAGCCACATGGTCCAAAAAAATGAATATTTCACGGCAAGCAGTACACTGGTGAGTCATTTTCAATTTTCGTAAATACTTAGGTAAAAAACTTGAAAGGCAATAGTGATACAAATTTTTATACGCAGTATGATCAAATAATGAATTATTGTATCATACAATTTGCTTTAGATTTTTTCTAATTTGCATAGAATTTTGAAATGTAAACAGCACAATGAAGATGTTACTTTTTTGGAACATGCACAACGAGGACTTGGTTGACTGTAGAAACATCTCTTTATTTCATGGTCCTCGGCACAAACTACATTGCTTGTAGGATGAACTAAAAGAACCGATATCGCAGATAAAATGCAAATTGTCTTGAACGTTGCAGTAAAAGGGAATGTCAGACAACTTTCGAGAGATACGTAGAAGTCGATCGATCGATGTTAGCTAATTGTTCGTAAACCGAGATCATCCTGAAATACGAAACGAGATTTCCTGCAGACGGGAGATAACCGAGAGCAAATGGTCAAGGATGGGCGCAAGGAATATAATTGTAAGAAGTTTGAAAAGGGGGAAAAACGTCACTGACAAAGCGGATATAGGCCTACGGATCAATAATATCCACAGTCAATCTAAAGTGATGTGCCTTTGAAATTTTGCCAACGAAGGTAAGAGGTGTCCGAAGATGTTCAACGTTAACTTTACCTTGCAATTACAACTGACAATTTAGATGAGAACAAATTATAATGGATCTCAGCCAAAACCGTATACAACATTTCAGAAAATGTTTCGAAAAAAAGGTTTGATGGGTACATGTTTTAAATGTATCTATATTTTTTATATAGTATACACAAACAAATGAATATTTTTATGTATACAAAAAAATAAAGTTATTCGAATTCAGTTTGGAAAACGACTCGCAACTAGCTAATCGTACTAAATCATACATTTAAAAAAGAATTATTAAATGACTTGCTTAAACTAAGTATTAGTAGTTTGTTGGATTCTTCGGTTACGTTTTACTACCCGCAATCTGTTTGGTATATATTAATGCTTTTTTTAAATCACTTTTATTTTTAATGATATGTTTTCGAATTCTAATTTGTAATTCGTGCCAGCCGTGTATTTATTACTTTGGGGCAATTATAAGTAGTCATATCTTGGCAACATACAATGTGTGTGTTGATATTGTTGTCGCTATAAAATTTAAAGCGTTCTGAAATTCCTATATTTTACTGTTTTATACGCAAATTATTAATACAAAATATTTATATTATCATATTTGTTCCTGTTCGTACACTCCGCGGATGAGACGCGTTTGCTGTGTGACGCGTCGACGAGGGTCGTAAGTCCTCGTCACGAATATTTTCGACACCCGGAAGAATGTACGTTTAAGATCCCTACGTCCTGTTAAGTCCGTTGGGATTAATTGGGTTTGAAATAATCTGGACAACGTGTGCAGGAAAAACTATATATTTTTGTATAATAATTAAATTGTGTTCGTGAATATTGTTTCGCGTTTTGTGTTACGATACCGAGTGCGTGGTATACTGGTCAGAAATCAAGTCCCGCCCGGCGATCGGGACCCTGGCTATATACCCCTGGTCCCGATCGTCTTTTGGATTTTCTTCGCGCCGGGTGCAAAAGTTCGAGGCGCGCGCCGCGGAACATTCTCGGGCCTTCGAGGACCGAGAATATTCCGCGACACGTGCAATCGATCGATTTTGCACCCGGCCCGAAACGGTTGCCCCCGGCACCGTTTCTAACGGACCTCACCGATGAGTAATATAGAACATAGCAAGATTCCGTGTGCTATGGAACAGTTCCTATTGTACTCGATAAATTCTACACTACTCACATTCCAACAGAAATACAGCCCCATACCACTGTCCTTTATGCTTCACGGTAAAGTTAAACAAAATTTTTTAACCCTTCATTGGGTTGTCACCATATCGTAATTTTACCATCCGAATGAAAGATATCTTTACTTTCATCTGCAAAGATAGTCTTTTTTCAAAAACCGAAACCTTTATTCAAATAATCTTTTGCGGAATTTAACCCTTTTTTTCTACTTTTCTCCCTCAGAGAACATTTGTTCTGAACCGTACAGCTATACAGGGTGTTTGGCCACCCCTGGGAAAAATATTAATAGGAGATTTTAGAGGCCAAAATAAGACGAAAATCAAGAATATTAATTTTTTGATTGAGGCCTCATCAAAAAGTTATTAAAAAATTTCAAATCATTCTGAAAAAATTATTTTTGGTTGAGGGGAACAATTACAATCATTTTTGGTGAATACACATACCCCCCAAATCCTACGCATTTTCGAGCAAAAAATTCTTTTTCGAAAATATGTGAGGTTAGAAATATTGCCCTGAAATGTCATGCGTATGCTAACATAATACCCTCTAAACGGATTGGAGGATATTAATGTTTCACAATGCAAACAACGCATATTTTGGTAAAAAATATGTACAAATTCAAAGAATGTTCGAAAAGTTGTTCCTTAAACCCGTAAAGTGAGAAAAGCCCCATAAAAATGGTCAAATCTTCAAACGACCATTACACCTACAGTTGTCAATGGATTTCATTGAAATTTAATTTGGAAGTAGAGGTCATGGATACCTACAAAAAAGTATTAAACAACTTTTCTGTAGAGCATCAAACAAAAGAACTAAAAATCAAAAACGGATTTTTAAGAAAAATCGACATATGTTATGTGCCTAAATTTTTTGGTGACATTAAAAAGTTTGAAATCATTTTGGAAAAATTATTTTCGGTTGCGGGGGTCCATTACAATCATTTTTGGTGAATAGACACACCCCCGAAATCCTACGCACTTTCGAGAAACAAATTCGACTAGGTGAACAAATTTTTCGTTAAAATTAAAAAATTTCAAATCATTCTGGAATAATTATTTTTGGTTGCGGGGGTCAATTAGAATCATTT